CGGCGGGAGGAGGAGTTGTGTCGCTGCGCGCCAGAGCCGATGCCAGGATGGGGAGCGCTCGGCGACGTAGAAGTAAGTTATCTAGTCTCGGCAAGCAGGGCGCACGCGCCTTTCAAGTCGCGCGCATGGGATTCCTCCCTTCTGTGCTGTATGGGGCGGTCTGCCTCGGAATGGGCCCGACTCGGCTCACCCGAGCGAGGGCTCTCATGGCCTCAGCGCTGGGCGGGACGCAATCGGTAAGGACCGACTGCTGCGCCTGTGGGCGCTTCGCTGCGACCCCCTGGTCGACGCTTGCACGAAGCCGGTGCTCAAATGGGCGGAGGCTATCTTTGCTGGCAGCCATGAGGAGCTCGTGGCTGCGGGGTGGCGCAGAGCTGTTGCGGCGGCCGCTGCCGCCAAGCCTGGGAGCAACCCTTGGAGACAGATAAAAGGACCTGCCTCAGCCGTCTGGGCCACTCTCCGTCTCCTCTCGTGGACGTGGCCTGCCCCTCACGTTTTCTCCGACCATCTCGGACAGCAGTGGGAGTTGCGCAGGACGGCACCGCAGTGTCTCAAGAAGCCGATCTGGTCCCGTTTGGAATTCGCGGTGATGGCCTCCTGGGCGGCCTCCAGGGACCTCGGGATCACCCGTCCTTTCCTCGAGCCTATTCGGGCTCTCCTTCGACGAAAGGCTAACCGATCACCGCAGAGGCGATCGGCTATCCTGGCCTACATGGGCCGCGACTTCTGGACCCAGGAGAAAGTCTGGCGCGCGGGTTTCGGGGACGACAGGTCCTGTCAAGCCTGTGGCGCTGAAGTCGGATGTCAGCACCATCGTTTCTGTCGCTGCCCAGACCGAGGGGCAGCGAGAGCCACCGTCGCCGAGGATGAGGGCCTCCAAGGGATCGTGCATCGTGCTGAATCCTCCTCCTCGGACTCCCTCCTCTTCTCCCGTGGGCTTCACGAGCACCCCTTGGAGGACCCGCAGTCTGATTGGATTTCTGCCCTGGAGGAAGAAAACCCAGATTTTGTAAATCCCCCGCTGGTCTCAGGGTGGGCCTACTCCGACGGATCGGCCAGAGGCCCACCAGGGCTCAAGAGTTTCGGTTGGGGCTACGTTTTCCTGGACCAGGACGGGGAGGCTGTCAAGGCCATGCGGGGTGCCCTCCCAGGTCTGCGTAGCCTCGCCTCCGTCCTCCGTGCTGAATTGTATGGATTGCTCAAGCTGCTGGATAGCGCTCGCCCGCCCTTGAGGGTAGGGATCGACAATAGTTCAGTTATTCGAGGCCTCCGTAGGGGCCCCCGCTGGTGCTGCAGCCCTCGGAGGCCGCGCGCCGACCTCTGGGGCAGGATATGGGCCCTGCTCCAGGACAGCTTCAGCCAGGAAGGTGAGTTTCAGGCCGTCAAGGTAAAAGCCCATGCTCGCGGGCCAAAGGATGACTCGCACGAAAGCCTTCTCGATTTTCAAGGGAATCAATTGGCAGACAGTGAGGCCCGCCTTGGGGCCGACATGCAGGAGGTCCCCCCGTGGAAGGCCCAGACCTGGACCACCCGCCCGGCGGAGGTCCAGGCGGTGCTGACTCTGGTGGCGGGGGTGACCGGGCTCACGGCGGTCTTCGGGGGTTCCACGGGGAGGCCTGCCGCGGGCTCCAGCGGAGCCCGCCGACGGCGGCAAGGGCCGCCCGAAGGGGCCCGCGCCCACGTCGTCATCTGGAGGAGGGGGGCGTGGCGTTGCTCGACGTGTGGGCGCAAGGCCTTCTCCAGCAAGACTAGGCGCGCGCTGGCGCGCAGGCCCTGCCAGGGCACGATGAGGGTGGATCGTCGTCGGGGAGTCGGGCTGGGGCGGGGGGGGGTGGGGGGAAGGGTGCATTTCTCCCGCCCTCCGCGGCGCGGCCCTGGGGCGCGAGCTGCGCCGCGTGGGCCGGTATACTTTCTGCGATCGGTGCGGTGTCTTCTCGAGCGAGAGGGGGTGCAAGCTCCTGGGTGCCTGCGAAGGGGCCCCAGCGAACCCCACCGCAGGGCACCGCCTCTCGCTCCTGCGCCGAGGCAGAACTCCTTACGCAGTGAAGGTCTCCCTGGAGGCGGTACCGCGCTCCCTGGTGCAGGAGGAATGCGCCGCTCTCTGGGAGTGCCTCATGGACTGAATCAGGGCGGAGGCGGGATGGCACCCCGAGGCGGAGTGCCCGCCTGTCCTACTCTCATGTGGCGAGCTGGGGCGGGGACCGCCAGGCATCGTTCCTGCAGCAAACAAACCTCCTCCTCCTCCCCGTCCACCTGCAGGGCAAGTATTCCGTCGCCAGGTGCCAGCGTGGCTTCGTAGATGGCCTGAACCTTCTTTGACAATGCTGCTGAGTTGGAGTCCTGGGTTTGGAGTGGGCCTGCGTGCGTGGCCATGCCTTCCCTGGGATGATATTCCTGGATATTGGCGCTGCCTTCCCGAGCGTGCTTCATCTTTGGACCTTTGGATCTTCCTGATTAGTGATGGGCGGGGCGTCCCAGGTCGCATGATCCAGGCTACACGGCTTGTGTATGACAGCGTCTATGTTGACATAGTCTTTGCGAGCTCAAGATGCCTTGGCTTCCAAATGTCCAGAGGAATGAAGCAAGGCTGCCCTTTTGTCGGCCATCGGTATTGTGCCGGCTTTTTGACCCTGTGGTCCGAGGTATCCAAAGCGCATTGGCTCCGCACCCAGCGTATCCTTTCACTTGCGCAGACGACGTCGGCGTGGCTACTAGAGATCTACGCCTTTCGCTCCATTTCCCAGTTTAGTGGATGAGGAGCACTAGTCAGATCACTGGGCTTCGCTTACAACATCGGATGTGCTGGATTGTTATTGCGAATGAGATGCGCATGAGCTCTGCTTGTAAAGTTTTGAAATTGGCGGGAATATCAACTGATGAGTTCGTTGCTGGCGCGAATGCAGCGTAGACTGGCGTGGTCTTTGGGCCGAGAGGCCGTTTAGCCTCGTGAATTGGCCCGTGTGTTTCTTTGTTGTTGATATTTGGTTCGCGCTCGGGCATTGAAGGTCTCCATGACCCAGAACAGCTTTGCCTGCAACTTGCTGGCGCAGCCTGTGATGTCGCAGGCCTCCTAGTTCTATCTTGCCGACAAGAGAGTGGTGGACTTTGAAGTTTCGGCTCTGCAGAGGCTGATGATTGGACCGAGATTTGCTGGTCCGACAGATGCTGTTCGTCAACTTGATGTTATGGGCTTAAATTCGGTGCCCAAACATATCCTATGTCAAAGCAAGACGGCCATTTCATCGTGCTGCAGTTCGGAGTTCCGTATTCACCGAAACCACGACTGGATTTCATCATCGTCATCAAGAGTATGGTTTGGATTTGTTTATGGTGCAATGGTTGGACAATCCAAATACCAAGGCTTGGCTTGATGTGTACTTGTTTTTCTCGCGGCTGCGTCCTGAGCTCCCCGACCTAGATGCAATCGACCTTCAGCCGAAGGCGGACTGACCCGTGAAGGTCTCATTTCCCCGAGTGTCTGTGGCGCCCCTTTTCCTCGCGAGGGCTAGGTGCCCTGGCCACGTGCGCCGAGCACGTGGCAAACGTGACACGCACGCATACCGACAGACAGACAGAGACAGACAGACAGACAGACAGACATAGAAACATACACGTATGCATACATGTATATGTGAATATGTGTAAATCTACATATGCATATATATATATATATATATGGCTATCGTGGAATTGCCGCGTTCCCTCGCGGTGGTTCAAGGGCGCGGCTGGTCGGGGCGCCCCGCATCGCCTGCCCGGGGGGCCCTCGGGCTGCACCGCCCTGGAAGTTCCGGGACCGCCGGCCCTCTGACCCCCGCCCCCCTTTTGTGCCCTGGCAGAGCTCGACCGCTGCGAATTCGGCCAGGGCGGCAGAGCCCTCGCAGGTAGGGGAGCCACTCGGAGCAACGACTGGGGGGTGGGGAAAGGGGGGAACGGCGCAGCCGCGGGCTTAGAGGCCACCAGGCGATGTTCGGGCAGAAGGCTCACGGCACTGTTCGCGCGCCCCACAAGGAAGGCGCCCCCCGCGCCATTTGCGCGGTGATCGAGCAGGCGGCGTTCGATCCGATGTTGCCCGATCTCGAATTAGATGATAGCGATACAGCGCGGTGCGATGAACTTCTAAAGTTTCTCGTCTCGCCAGCGTCCACTGCCGCCGGTCCCCAGCTCTTGACCCCGGTTTCGCCGGTGAGACGTTCGGGGCGCGAGCAGCCCACCATGGCGCGGAAAACACGCCCGCGCCGAGCAGTGGAGCGATGATTTTGACAGCCTGTCTGTCGCATGTCCGCTCGCTCGAGAGCCTGGCCTGAAGCTCACCACCCACCAAACCACCCCAACCCAACCCGAAGGCTCAGATTTACCCTCGATTTCCAGTGGGGGGGGGTCGGGAAACATCGAAAAAAAACATATGGAACCCTTACCCCCCCCACCCGAAATTCGGGTCTTCGGGTTGGGTTTGGGTGGTCTGGTAGGTAGTCAGAAGCTCACCAGCGCTTCGCTGGATGACCCGTTTGGTCGCACCACGCCCTCGCCTCCGCCCCCCTCTGCGCCGCCTCCGCCGCCCCAGCTTTCGCCGGCGGCTCAGGCTCTCGTCGCGGCGAATTGTGCCGATGGGCTCTGGAGGGGCGCGAGCGCGCCGGTGAGGCGCGGCGACTACCGATCCTCCACACGTCTCAACCTTTGTGGTCCTCCTCCCGAGCTTCCTGTTAGCGCATCTTTGGAGTCGGCCCGGGCTGTCCCGCGCCGCCAGTTCGCCGCAGCCACGACGGGCCGCCGATCTGGAGGACGGGGGCGAGGAGGTTTGGGCGGGCGGGGAGGGGGCGCGGGCGCGAGCAAGACTTTTGCCCATATCCACTGCAGCCTGAGGTTCCTGGCCCCCCCAGAAACCCGAGACGCGCTGGGCGTGGATAGAAAAGCTGCCCCCCCCAAGAGGCTCGACTGTTGTTCGCATCCAGCGCGCCTCAGCCCTTCGGCGCCCCTTCGAGAGAGCCCGAGACAGGCTGGACATGGAAATATTCACAGCCCGCGACGGAGAGTGGCAACGATCGCCCCGCCCGTGCCCGCACATCGGGCCTGGCGTTCCGACTGCGGCGCCCAGGGGCGACTGGCGCGCGCCTGGGCAAGATGGAGGTGGCTGGAGGGCTGCCGGGGGTAGCGGCAGGCGCGTGGAAGACCTGTTCGTGAAATCGTCCTACAGCCTACAGTCAGGGGCAGCGATACGGGGGGACAGGGGGATGCATCGACCCCCAACCGCCCATTGATCGCCGATGGGGGCCCGATAGCCCCAACCTGCCCAGGAAGGTGCGGGTTTCCTGTCGGAGGCCTATCGCCGATCTATCGGCGATGTGTCGCCGGTTCCAGGTCGATGCATCCCCCCCCCAATCCTATCCCCCCCCTATCGTTGCCCCTCGTGCAAGCACCAGGTCGAGGTGGTTTGCACTGATGTCACCGATCGGATTCGGAGGAGCCGCGCCGGGCTGCAGGCTGCAGCGGTGCCCAAGGGAATGCCACAGCTCACGCCACCGGCCGTGGCTGCCGTTCCCTTTGTCTTGGCGCGCAGGGACTCCTTTTTGTTCAGTGTTGCGAAGGTTTTTTTTTTTTGTTTTTTTTTTTGTTTTTTTTTTTTTGTTTTTTTTTGTTGTTGTAATATTTTGTCGAGTGTTGCGAAGGGCCCGTTTCGCCTCGTGTCCGGCAGCGGGCGCCTCTGGTCGGCGGGCGGGCTCTCGGCCCGCGCGCCCCCGGCGGCAGTGCCCTTTGTGGGGCTCCTCTCGAGCTCGGCATCGCTCGGACGTGTGCGGTTTTGCTTCGGCGAGGGTCATCGAGAATCTCGGGCCGGGCGAAAGGGGGGGATTGGGAAAGGGGGGGTTTCGAAATTTGCTGCATGCAGCTGATTTCGGCCTCACCGAGGGGCCCATTCCTCGATACATAGCCGCCTCCGGCGCCGGGAGGCGCCGGGAAAATCAGCTACGTGAGCTGATTCTCAAACCCCCCCTTTGCTATCCCCCCCTTTTGCCCGACCCGATCATCGAGAATCATCCTTGATCATCTTGCGAAAAACCACGCACGAGACCAGAAAATACACGGGAAATGGACGTCCGAGCCGATGGCCAGCGAGGGCGCGCAGCTTCCAGGGTCCAGCGCCCCCATCATCCTCTCCGTCCTGCTCTTCCTGCTCCACGACCGCTTCCTCCTACCTACCCTTATGTCGGGCGTATCCCCCTACAGGAATATGTTCGACGAAAAATATGAAAAGTTCCAAAAGTGGTCGAACAATAATATAAAAATAGTCTGGGGACTATTTTTGAGTATTTTTTGACCTTCTTGGGTTTTTTGGGGGTATTTTTGATTTGTCGTCGAAAATCCCCCTGTAGGGGACACGCCCAACATAAACCTACCCCCCATCCCATGCGGACCGCGCGCGTTCCCGATGGCGCGGCGCACGATGGAGCCGATTTCGGGGCCAAAATGTTCCAGGATACCTGGGGCGGCGGGCATACAATGATTCAGCACAGTGAACAGGTCGGGAGCAGGGGTAGGACGTCAGACATATCGCTGGTGTTTTTATTGTAGTGGCCTCCGGCCAGTGCCGCCGATCCGGGGCGCTCCGGATGATGATGATGATGATGATGATGATGATGATGATGATGATGATGATGATGATGATGATGGTGATGGTGATGGTGATGGTGGTGGTGATGGTGATGGTGATGGTGATGGTGATGATGCTGATGATGCTGATGATGCTGATGATGCTGATGATGCTGATGATGCTGATGATGCTGATGATGCAGATAATGCTGATGATGCTGATGATGCTGATGATGCTGATGATGCTGATGCTGATGCTGATGCTGATGATGATGATGATGATGATGATGATGATGATGATGATGGTGATGATGGTGATGGTGATGGTGATGGTGATGGTGATGTGACGATGGTGATGGTGATGGTGATGTAGATGGTCCTCCAAACCCCCCTCCTCCTCTTTCCTGTCCCCCCCCCTCTCTCCTGGCCCCCCCCCCTCTCTTCTTTTCCCCCCCCGCCCCCCCCCCCCCCCCCCTCTCTCCCCCCCCCCCCTCCAGCCCCTCTCCCCCCCCCCTCTCCTGTCCCCCCCCCCCTCTCTGTCCTTCCCCCCCCCTCCTCTCTTTTCCCCTTCCCTCCCCCCTCACCCCTCTCTCCGTTCCCCCCCCCCTTCCTCTCTCCTTTCCCCCTCTCCCCCTCCCCCCCTCTCTCCTGTCCCCCCTCCCCCCCTCTCTCCTGTTCACCGCCCCCCCTCTCCGCCCCTCCCTCTCTTCTCCCCCCCCTCTTCCTTTCTCCTGCCCCCCCCCTCCCTCTCCTGTCCCCCACCTCCCCCCCTCCTTCCCCCCCCCCCCCCCCCTCTCTCCTGTCCAGGGCGCAGTGCAGGGGGGGGGGAGGAGCTGGAGGAAAGAGAAGGTGCAGAGGCGGGGGGGGGGTGCAAGAAGAGGGGGGGGGGGGCGGAGAGGAGATTGCAGAGGAAGGGGGGGTGCAGGAAGAGAGGGGGGGGGGGGCGCCGGAGAGGAAGGTGCAGGGGGGAGGGCGGTCCCGGCATTGGGGAGGCCTTGCGTGTCAATTCTTTCGTCGTTCGCGTCCCCCCCCCCTTGCAGAGCGAAGCTTGAGCGAGTTCAAGCCCACGCTCTCAGAAACTCACACGCCGGAGCGGCGGATTACATCATTTCTCTTCTCCCCTTTCCTGACCCCTCCCCCTCCTCGTCCACCCTCCGTGCTCTCTTTCTTCTGGAAGCCCTCCGACATCCATCGAACAACCCCGAGTCCCAGATGAGCTCCAATTTTTGTTTGTAAAGTTCTAGAACCTTTTACCGTCGTCTTTTTCCTGGTCCTTCGGTCCTAACCTCACACACCTTTTTCCTGTCTCAACAGCGGCCCCTCCTTCGTTCATCCACTTCCCCTGTCTTGCTTGCTTTTTTCTGCAGATTTCGAGAACCCCCAGAAGTTCACGGGGACGTGCAGAAGCGTCCAGGAGTTGTCGAAATCACCCGACATCCCCCAAACATGCTTGAGCACCTTTTTATCCCGGTTTGGCGCTCCGTCTGCAAAGTCCTTTTTGTTTATCCTGGAATATGCCAGCCCCCCCCCCGCAAAGCATTGTACTTTCTGCTGTGTCAAGCAAGATGAGAAACCCTTCAAGTTCGACCTCCTCCCTAGTCACCCTGTTCCATCCTCCTTGTCCCAGCCAGCAACGAGCCAATGACCAGGATGCCGAGGTGAAACGAGTTTTGGCTGCGAGGCCCCTGCAGGACAAAAAAACATAGATGCATGCCCAATACCCTCGTTATCCAGCTTCTTCTCGGCACGTATTCAATGTGAGTACACATGTCTTTTGTTTCTTGGCGATGTGCAACATTGGTGCCGCCTCTGCCGCGCATCATTTTCACACGCTGACACGCGCACTGCTTTCGCACAGAAATAAATCGTTTGACGTGTTAGATTTTTTGTTCACAACTTAAACGAATGCTGTCGGTCCATTGCGAATCGTGTCCCCGCTTCAGCTGTGGCCACATTTCATGATTGGTGTTTTGTTCCCGTCGGTCACAACAAATTATTTCCAGTTGCCACGGCCAAGTTGTAAACATTTGATATGTTAGTCGTATGGTTTAGCTTCCTTTTTCGGGTGCGCAGCCAACGGTCGCCGGTCAGAGGTTCCAATTGCCATTCGGGCCCCAATGTCTTTTAGGACACCCCAGTCGGCGGATCGATCAATACGTGACGCAATGAGAAAGGACGTATGGGAGGGTAGGATGACAGATGTGGCGCGGGCGCATTTTCCCTCTCCTTCTCTGGCCTTTTCTTCCTCCTCCACCCTCATCACCCGACCTCTCCGGGTGCGGTGAGAGATGCCTCGCGGACGGGGTGCGCTGCGACGCGCGCCGCCGCTGTTGCTGAGCCCAAAAGGCTTCACGCTTTCCCTTTCGGCCTCGCGCGGAGGGGGGGCAGAGGGGGAAGGGTTCTTAGAACCACCCCTGTTTTGTAGAAGGCGCGGGCCTTGCCTGTACACTCTAGGCGATGCTTAAGAAAACCAAAGGTTTCGGCCAGGGTCTCGATTATTCGTAATGTTTCAATGTAAATCCCAAGATTTGAATAGACATTCTGGGCTTTTATTCAAATTCTGAGACTATGAATTTCTTAACCCATGAATTCTAAAGCATTTTGCAGGGTGTCGGTGTGGGGCTGGCGCCCTCTAAGAAGCAGCCTTTCTCTGAGCAGCCTTCCCCCGTTGCCCCTGCCCCCCTGCGCGACGCCAAGCGGTCAGAGACGCCTCGCAGATGGGGTGCGCCTGGACGCGCGCCGCTAATGCTGCCGCTGCTGAGCTGAAAAAGACTTCGCCTCCCTCCTGACAACGGGGACAGGACGAGGAGGAGGAAGAGGAGGAGGAGGAGGAGGAGGAGGAAGAGGGGGAGGAAGAGGAGGAGGAGGAGGAGGAGGAGGAGGAGGAGGAGGAAGGGAAATCCATCTGGCCTCTGGCGGGCCTGGGCCTCGACCGATCCTCCGCTCGGGGTCGATCGGCGCGCCCGTGGGACCGATCGGCTCACACCAGATCTGATCTTCCGCCCGCGGGGCCGGGCTCGCGCGCCGCGGCGGGTCGGCCATTCGCCGCCGCCGCAGCCGCGCCCCGCCCGCTGCTGCCCTGTTGTCGCGCGCCGCAGGCGCGCCTGGGAGGGGCCCGGCGCCCCTGGAACCCGCCTGGCACAGGCGGGAGCGCGCCCGCCGCGCATCAACGCGGACTCTTCTCAGGGTCGTGGAGGCGACCAACTGCCTCAACGACCACCATTCCGCGCAGCAGCACCAGCGCAACCAGCAGCAGCTGCCCCAGCGCAGCCAGCAGCCCAAGCGCCACCAGCAGCGCACGATGGCGCAGCGGGGTCGCTGGACAGGATGGCGGGACCGAAAGGGATCAGTGGAAAGGAGGACAGGAGCAGGGTCTTCAGCCGCTGGACCAGGTCCAGCCTTCAGCCAGACAGACAGTATGATGGCAGTGGAACCGCCAGTAGGAGCACGGCCATGGCCATGGAGAAGACCATCACGAGGGAGGTCATCGGTGAGAGTTCCACAATGGCACTACCAACGCAGCGACCACAACCACTACAACACATACCAGAAGAATTACTACCAGAGGAAGAAGAAGACCCGGTCCGCATCCAGAAGGCGCCACGACCCCAGCTGAGGTAATTAGCCAGCTATACAACACACAAGCGATGCGATACAGATGCAAGACTTCGCCTACACGAAGCAGCAGGACATGATCGACGAGTTCATCCCGAGTTCGGAGGTCAGGGCAGTCAACCATGAGGCCTTCTCCTACCCCCCTCACGAGACGGAGCTCCGCCGCATGTGGAAGCATACCAAGGCGGCGAGGCTCGGAAGGCTTGCTGATCAGCTTGCTGGGGCCCGACAGGCAGGAGTCGACGCACGACGACTCATCGATGAATGAGAATTTACGAAATTTATGATATAACCTGACCATCGAGCCGAATGAAAGATATAACAATCTACAGAGAGGAGTTGGACGTGGTCAACAAGAAGAGAAGAGCGATCGCAGAACAAGTCA